CTGATGAATATAGATGCAAAAATCCTCAACAAAATACTAGCAAACAGAATCCAGCAACACATAAAAAGGATCATACACTATGATCAAGTGGGATTTATCCCAGGGATGCAAGGATTCTTCAATATACGCAAATCAATCAATGTGATACACCATATTAACAAACTGAAGAATAAAAACCATATGATCATCTCAATAGATGTAGAAAAAGCTTTTGACAAAATTCAACACCCATTTATGATAAAAACTCTCCAGAAAGTGGGCATAGAGAGAACCTACCTCAATATAATAAAGGCCATATACGACAAACACACAGCAAACATCATTATGAATGGTGAAAAACTGAAAGCATTCCCTCTAGGATCAGGAATGAGACAAGGATGTCCACTCTCACCACTATTATTCAACATAGTTTTGGAAGTCCTAGCCACGGCAATCAGAGAAGAAAAAGAAATAAAAGGAATACAAATTGGAAAAGAAGAAGTCAAACTGTCACTGTCTGCAGATGACATGATACTATACATAAAGAATCCTAAAGATGCCACCAGAAAACTACTAGAGATAATCAATGAATTTGGTAAAGTTGCAGGATACAAAACTAATGCACAGAAATCTCTTGTATTCCTATACACTAATGATGAAAAATCTGAAAGAGAAATTATGGAAACACTCCCATTTACCATTGCAACAAAAAGAATAAAATACCTAGGAATAAACCTACCTAGGTAGACAAAAGACCTGTATGCAGAAAACTATAAGACACTGATGAAAGAAATCAAAGATACCAACAGATGGAGAGATATAACACGTTCTTGGATTGGAAGCATCAATATTGTGAAAATGACTATATTACCCAAAGCAATCTACAGATTCAATGCAATCCCTATCAAATTACCAATGGCATTTTTTACAGAACTAGAACAAATCATCTTAAAATTTGTATGGAGACACAAAAGACCCCGAATAGCCAAAGCAGTCTTGAGGGAAAAAATGGAGCTGGAGGAATCAGATTCCCTGATTTCAGACTATACTACAAAGCTACAGTCATCAACACAATATGGTACTGGCACAAAAAACAGAAACATAGATCAATGGACCAAGATAGAAAGCCCAGGGATAAACCCACGCATGTATGGTCAACTAATCTATGAAAAAGGAGGCAAGGATATACAATGGAGAAAAGACAGTCTCTTCAATAACTGGTGCTGGGAAAACTGGACAGCTACATGTAAAAGAATGAAATTAGAACACTCCCTAACACCATACACAAAAATAAACTCAAAATGGATTTGAGACCTAAATGTAAGACCGGACACTATAAAACTTAGAGGAATACATAGGAAGAACACTCTTTGACATAAATCACAGCAAGATATTTTTTGATCCACCACCTAGATTAATAGAAATAAAAACAAAAATAAACAAATGGGACCTAATGAAACTTCAAAGCTTTTGCACAGCAAAGGAAACCATAAACAAGACGAAACGACAACACACAGAATGGGAGAAAATATTTGCAAACGAAACAGCAGACAAAGGATTAACCTCCAAAATATATAAACAGCTCATGCAGCTCAATATTAAAGAAACAAACAACCCAATCCAAAAATGCGCAAAAGACCTAAATAGACATTTCTCCAAAGAAGACATACAAATGGCCAAGAAGCACATGGACAGCTGCTCAACATCACTAATAATTTGAGAAATGTAAATCAAAACTACAATGAGGTATCACCTCACACCAGTTAGAATGGGCATCATCAGAAAATCTACAAACAACAAATGCTGGAGAGGGTGTGGAGAAAAGGGAATCCTCTTGCACTGCTGGTGGGAATGTAAATTGATACAGCCATTATGGAGAACAGTATGGAGGTTCCTTAAAAAACTAAAAATAGAATTACCATACATATGACCCAGCAATCCCACTACTGGGCATATACCCAGAGAAAACCATAATTCAAAAAGACACATGCACCCCAATGTTCACTGCAGCACTATTTACAACAGTCAGGTAATGGAAGCAACCTAAATGCCCGTCGACAGACAAATGGATAAAGAAGATGTGGTACATATATACAATGGAATATTACTCAGCCATAAAATGAAACGAAACTGAGTCATTTGTTGAGATGTGGATGGATCTAGAGACTGTCATACAGAGTGAAGTAAGTCAGAATGAGAAAAACAAATATCGTATATTAATGCATGTATGCAGAACCTAGAAAAATGGTACAGATGACCCGGTTTGCAGGGCAGAAGTTGAGACACAGATGTAGAGAACAAATGTATGGACACCAAGGGGGGGAAAACCGCTGTGTGGTGGGGATGGTGGTGTGCTGAATTGGGCGATTGGGATTGACATGTATACCCTGATGTGTATAAAACTGATGACTAATAAGAACCTGCAGTATAAAAAAACAAACAAACAAACAAAAAAAAACAACTAATACTAAACTTTCTTTGGGTTATTTGTATGGAAATATGTTAATATAAATTTCAGACATTACAAGAAATTTCTAAAAATCTTGTATGTTCTGGTATAATTGTATAAGTCATAATTCTAGTTATTACTTTAAAATGTATGTCTCAGAAATAAGTAAATTTCCTTGTCAATTCCATTATTATGAACTTTCATCAAATCTTTAACCATGGTCATTTTTTAAGTCTTTTGTCATTTACAGACAGTTCTGGGTGTACTCTGATGCTTTTGCAAAAATGTTCCTATAAAACGCTTTCATCTTCAAGGAATTCATGGAAAAGACTTGGACAAGTACAGGTTTCTGGTAACTGACTATACTGCTGAACTGAATGAATAAGCATTTTCAGAACTGTAATGGAAAACTGATGAATTCATACAAGTGCTAACAAAACATCAAGATAAAAAAAAATTAATTACATGGGACTGAGTGAACTGATGAGGATGATTATAATTTTTGTGACTTTCTGTTTGAATAAAAAAAAAAATCCCACAAGGACTCAGAGGCAAAAAATATACAAATCAATTCTCATTGCAAAGTAAAGGAATGTTACAGTGGAGGATTACTGGACTGAATGTCAATCTTATGACATAGTGTGAGTGTGTTTCGTGTTTGGTAATTGCAATCGTTGCTTTTGTTGTGGTCATGTATTTACAATGCTTGGTGTCAGTTTATTTATCTCTTGTAAAAATTTACAATGCTTGGTGTCAGTTTATTTATCTCTTGTAAAAAAAAAATGTGTGTGTGTGTGTGAAAAAATTAATTAATCAATTAATTAAAAGAATAAAAGGTAAAGGACAAAAAAAAATACAGAGAATGGTAGAGAATAATCAAAGACTTACTAACTACAAATTTCCCTCATTTTTCAAGATTCCAGTTTCTAAGATCAAGAACATAAATTCCAAGTATGAAAAATAAAAAGCAAATCCATACCTTGATACACTGTTGTGACATTAATTAAGAAGAAATAAAAACAGTGAAGAAAAACAGAATTACCTGTAGTCAAGGAAGAGAGATAAGTTAACTACAAAGGAACCACAATTAGACTGACTTCTCAATTTTAAAAGTAAGGGCAGAATACAGTGGAATATCACCTGAAACAAAATAACTGTCAAACTATAAGTGTGTACCTAGTAAAACTACCTTTGAAGAACTGACATGAAAAAGATATTTTCTGGAAAAGGATGAAAAGGGAAGAAGTGAATGAAAGAAAGAATAGGGAAATAGGAAACTAAAACTGTTTTAGATCAACAAACTCTCACCTAAACGAACTGGTAAAGACTGTACTTTACCAGGTACAAAATGACCCCACATAGAAAATCCGTAACAGAAGAGCCAAAGGTATTGGTAAATATGCCGGTAAATCTAAACAAACACTAACTAATAAAACAATGATAATATTTTAATTCATGAGGGGAAAAACAGAATATAACTACATTCTGAACAACATAAAACTTATATCTATATAAAATTAGACAAGGGATGAAGAGATTATAATGTGCTAAGGTGTACATTCAGGAGAAGTGCAAAGTTATTTATTGACTTTATACTTTGTTAATTACTCTTGTAAAACATGAATGTCCATCTTCCTTGTAAATAGCGGAAACAAAATGGGCCAAATGCAAAACCTTCAAGCAATTCAAAATGAAGGCAAAAAGAGGAGGCGGAAATTAATAGGGGAAAATTTTTTCAAATAGAAAACTTATAATAAGATATATAAATAGATCCAAATATATCAGCACTCACAATAAACATAAATTGACTGAAATCTCCAGTTAAAAGCCAAATTTGTGAGAAATGGATAAGAAAAAAAAATCCAGCTATAGAATACTATTTTTATAAGTACACATCATAAAATAAGGGTACAGAAGAACTGAAATTCAAGTAATGGAAAAAGATATACCAGGTTAAAAGAATATAGGAAAACAATGAATCATCTGATACAAAGAAATGAAATGACAAAATTATAAAGGAGCATTCTGAAGAGTAGGCAATTTTTCTGAACCAAAGCAGTATAATTGAGTCTCAGATTCATTTCACCTCATTTAATTCAGTTTAGGGCTTCAGTTTATTAATATCCTTTAGGAATCGGATTCTTTTGTCTACTGTACTAGCATCCCTTCTGACCTGAACGTTTGATAAGCATGCCGGTAGTGACTTTATGCAAAACAGTGAGAAAGTGGTTACGAAGTTAAAGCCTAGTACAGAGCCCTATAGCACAATAAAGAAGCATCTATAAAGGCTGATATCTGTTTGCTTAGAGTATAGTTGCTCAAGGAATTACAAACCCCATTACTATTACTCACATCTTATTCTTTAACTTTATTCACAAGCCTATCAAGATACATTTTCTCAAATACTGAAATCTAGATATTGTCAATAATATCTTTACCTATTTATGCATGAATGTGTACATACACACAAATCTTCACATATGTACATACACATATCTATCTACACATACATACACACCTATACAAAACAAACACAAATATGTCATATAGATAAATCACAGTAATACTGTACCTCATAGGTAGTTCCATAATGGCACGTAAATTGGCATTGTCTGTTGGTTTCTGCATCTTGCTCAACATTGGTATAAAATATTACTCCATCTCCAGAGCAGGATACAATCTGCTTATCATTTGTGCATGGTAAGAACTTTGCACTAAATATATTTGCTCGGTGCCCTGAACGAATTGTTGTCAAAACCTAAAACACAGAGAGGAAGTAGTTCTTAGTAATTTATTAGTTCCTAAAAAGAAACATTCAAATTCAATATAATCACAGCCAGGAATAAATTCTCATTAACATTCTCATCTCAAATGAAAAAATATCATTTGATTCCAAACTATTGTAATTAGAAAAAAAAGAAATCAGAATCTCACATATTTTCTTTATTTCTCTCTGAGATGTGAAGAAGATTAAGTATCAACAGGAATAGTGCTGAAACTGAGTCCCCCTAAAACTGAGTTCCTCTGCAGAGTTTATGATTAACCTGTCTATCCAAATTTTATTCCCTGTCTCATCCAACATCTGTTCCTCTCATGACTGAGGAGAATCAAAGAAAACGGGGGACTGAAACCAAGCAGGACCCTGTGGGGCCGTCCCAGGCATAAAAGCCTTTCAATGTCCCCTGTTTCTTGTTTGTAGGAAGAAGGCTTTTAGCCTCCTACGCCTTCCCTGAGTTTCAAAGGGCAGATTAAACAGTTACGAATTAGGGGACTGAGAAAATGCAGAAACAGCAAAGGGAACTGGTCCTGGTTCTCTGCAGGAAGGAGAAGGGATTGTGCATAACAATTTGATACATATCTTTGAGTTCTTCTATAGGAACTAAGCCCCTCCCACCCAGGTGGAGGATGGTAACTTCAGGCTGGGCACAAGCATGTGGACCCCAGACTGACTGGAGATTCTTAGAACACCACCCTGTTACCTCGCCACCAGCCAACCAGAGGAGGGTTACACACCCAGCAGCCCTCCCCCAGATTTCTGCCTATAAAAATTTCTTCCCTGAAACCCATGGGGAGTTTGGGTCTTTTGAGCAGGAGTCACCTGTTCTCCTTGCATGGCCCTTGCAATAAACCTTTCTCTGCTCCAAACTCTGACATTTAGGTTTGTTTGGCCTCATTGTGCATCAGGCACACAAACTTGGGTTCAACAACAGTGCCTTGAAAATTAAATATACATATTTCCACCTACTTGGTGTATCTGACTCATTCATAAACCCTCAGTAAATATAAAAAGACTATCTTGATTGACTTTTGAAACTGTTTACTAGATGATTATTAAGTTATTCCCTTTCAGGATGAAGAAATAAAAGTAAACTGAATTTAAATGAATCATAAAGTAATGAAATGGTACAGAGGAGGATACAGCAGAACTTCCTACATCTAACTTCTTAATAGTTTAAAAGACCAGAATTCCTGTTACAGAAATACAGTTTAAAATAAATATTTTCATATTTGTAACATACACTGAAGGTAAAAGACGAAATCCCCCAACAGTGTTTAAAAATTGAGAGGGGGGGGAAAAAACCCAACAAAACCTGATTTTTTTAAAAATGGGCAAAAGATCTGAAGAGATAGTCCAAAGATATACAAATGGCCCTTAAAAATGTGAAAAAGCATCTAAGTTTATTCATAAAGGAAATGTAAATTGAAACTACATTGAGATTACTAATTCCCACTTTTCAGACTGGGAAAAATTCAAAAGCTTGACAACATACTGTATAAGTGAGTATGCGGGGCGGTGGGGGCGGAGGGGGCGCGGCGCAGAATACCAGGCTCTTTAAACAATTCTGGTGGGACTGCTAAATGGTACAAGACCAACGGGGAGGGGTTTAGCAGCACCTCACAAAACCACATATGCGTTAACCCTTTGATCAGACAAGTCTATTTCTAAGAATTAATGCTGAAGATACACCTCCAATAATACCGAAAAAAAAAAGTACCAAGTTACTTACTGAGTTATTTATAATAGCAAAACACAGGAGACTGGCTGAATAAATTATGGTACATCCCCACAATGTATCATATACAATGGGAATTTAATGCAATGGGAATATCTGGTGTGCTTTTTTAAAAAAAAAATGTGCTCAAAATAAGGGAATATGTCAAAACACAGACACAAAGTTGCTTTAGTTCACTTTAAGTGTCTTACTGAACAAAACTAACACAACACTGTAAAGCAACTATACTCCAATAAAATGTTTTAAATAAATAAATAAAAGAACAACAAAAAATGTCTTACTGAACAAACTGGGGCAATTCGAGCATCAATAAAAATATCAGTGATAGATTATAATTTATTGAATAAAAATAAAACTCTATAATCCCACAGTAATTTTTTCACAAAGGTGGCAAAGACTAAGGAAATGCTCTTATTCACAGAATAATGTCAGTTAATAAATGTAGAATGACAGAATTAAAAATCACTATTTATAACCACATTATAACAACTGATTAAGGCAAGAATCAATGAATACTGAAACCACTGTGTGAAAGACTGCTATGAAAGAGAATATTCACACAGTCCCCACACACTACTCCCCCGTAGCTTATAATTACAAAGGGTAAATGTACCTACACAATGGAAAGATCAAACTTAACATCACCAATTAGGGGACAAATTAATATCAGGTACTACAACATCACCCATGGAGAATTCCTAGCAAAAATGTTTAATGTTAATCTACTCATGAAGAAACAATCAGACAAATCCAAATGGAGGGACATTCTATAAAATAACTTGACTGATATGTCAATATAACAATAAAACAACATATCAATGTCATGAAAGACCAAAAAGTTGAATGAACTGTTCTAAAGGAGACAAAGGAAATATGACAAATAAATGAAATATGTGGTGCTGGATTGGGGGTTGGATTGAAGGAGGCATGGCAGTGACAAAATTACTGAAATGGGAAAATTTGAACATGGACTATACATGTATATATGTGCACGTATTATGTGTGTATATATGTAATATACCATGGACGAAGAATGTCACCTGCCATATCAGTAAACAAAGGATGTTGCATCCAACCGTCACTGCAGCCACCCCCCCCATGGTGCACCCTGAGGGGAACTCAGAACAGCGATAAGCAGGCTGCCAGCCACCAAGCCATCAGTCTCTGCAGCCACCCCCAGTGGTGCACCATACAGAGGATACAGAGGATAGATAGTTAAGGTACATAGCAAAGGAACAATTTCAATAAGCCCAGATTCTTGCATCTTCCCAAACAAAGAGCTAAATTCTTGAACTTGAGATGTCTGGGGTTTTTTAATTAGCAGTAATCTTTTGATGTTCTGACTACCTAGGGTTTTTTTGCAAAAACTCTTATATATCCTAGCTCCTCCTTTACCTCTCCAGAACAGTCCCTCAGAGCTATCTGAGAGGCTGTCTCCCTGGCTTAAGTTCTCAGTATATCCACCAAATAAAACATATTTCTCAACTTTTAGGTTGTGCATTTTTTTCAGTCGACAGTACAAAACTGTATATATTATACAAATATGATAACAGCATATGGTCAATTCTCATTACTACTGGTAGTTGTGCTCTGTAAAGTCACCACAAACACTGAAAAAGCAAGTGCTGAATCACTGCTCCTACGGAAATACAGGGTTAGGTTCCTGTGAGGCTCTGGTCACAATATTTTCATCAACTAATCAATAAGTAACTTTGTTTCATGTGTTTCTGTTTAAAGACACTTTATTTGATATATATTGTTGATTCATTAACATTGAACTTATGGCCAACAGCACTATAACTCATGCCTAAATGAAGCTTGTCTAACATATTTTCTCCATAAAGCACATCCCAGGCTTCCTGTACTTAGGAATACCAGATAGTACTTCAGCACAATACCTGAGGACCACTTCAACATTGAAATCACTAACAAAAAGCACAAAAACACAAAACCTATGACACTAAATGTATCACAAAAAGGATACAATACAGTATGCTTACAGTATTTGATTTGAAACAAGAAGTCTGAGTGTCACTTTGTTTGATCTCACCTGGGAATGTGAGTGTTGATGTATGTGCTGGGCAACTCAAATTTTTTGCCACTCTGTACATGTATATGGCCATAAATGACGAGGAAAACACTGGAAGTATTGATTTGGGGGTTAAAAATAAACTTAATGAGTAGGTGAATTTGCAAATATGGAATCTGTAAGTAATGAGGATCAACTCTATATTCAATATTACATATCTTGACCATGGTAACTGCATTATAGCTATATAGGATAATGTTATTGTTCTTAGTAGACAGATGTCAAAGTATTCATGAATGAAGTGCATAATGCTTCCAACTTACTCTAAAATACTTTTTTAAACAATCTATTTGTGGATGTTCATTGTACTATTCTTTCAACTTTTTCATCAGTTTTAAAATCTTAAAATAAATTTAGGAAAAGATATTTCAACTTTATTTTTGGTTTGGTTTTAAGTGAGTATTTACTGTATAACACTGACAAATTCATAACCGAAGTACGACACCAAATCAGAACACAGATCTGGTATAAGTATTAGCAGCTACTTACCTTGACCGCCTTAAGTATTTAAGTCACCTCATTTTATCTAAGACCTAGGGTCATGAACAAAATAAGGATTTGCTGAGTACCATACAGTACTGTACTGTAAGTCTTATTAATACACACTTAATTAAGGTCAAATTAAAAAAAAGGGGAGAGAATTTGCACCTACATCAACCAAAGCCAATGGAGAATAAAAACTGTTAAATGTTTTAAAAATTTTCATTCCTCTCTCCAAGTATAAGACACTGAGACCTGGTCAATTAAGGTACAAGAAATAACACAGAGAATAATTAACGTAAAGCCTTTAAACAAGATAGAATCATAGCCTTTAATGCTGTCAAATATCTCAGCATGGTTTACCAAGTATCTAAGTATATATGTCACTACATACAATGTACGTAGTTTCTTAGTCTCATAGGCCTTTGACTTTGCTTTAGTCACATTCAGCAGACATTATTCTTAACAATTTGATTTATCTCCATTCAACAGGTGTATGTATAGCTCCAGAAACAAAAGGAGGAACCTCATTCAATACATTAACATGTGTACTGGCATATCACATATCACTCAAAAATTGAAAGAAATTTCTTTATTAAAGTAATCAGAGTAACCATTAAAGTAATTAGTAAAAAACTGAAGTCTTTTCCCTCTGAACAAATCTCTTGATTTCAGATGTCCCTCTCCAAACTTACTCCTTTTTCTCTAGTATTCCCCATCTTAGTAACATCAATATCCACCCACACAGTTGATCAAGTCAAAAACTAAGGAAGCATCCTTCATTTCTCTTTCCCTCATCCACTATATAAAATCCATCAGCAAATCCATGTCCAAGATACATTTCAAATTACTTCTCACCACCTTTAATGCCATTATCTCTGCCTCAACCATCATCTGTTCTCAACTACAATCTCAGAGATTTTCATCTCAGTCTCTGGATTACATCAATGGCCTCCTATCTCCTAGCTTCTGATCTTACTCAAACGCTACTCTCCAAAAAGCAACCACAGCTAACTTTTAAAAAGACAAATCATATCATTTCCATGTTTAAAATACTCTAGTGATCAGCTATTTCAATTACACTAAAAAGTAAACTCCTTAATCTAGCCTATCAAACCTACTACCTGACCCCTGCATAATCATGTTAACTTCATTTTGTACTGCTTCTTTCCCTAATTTATTAATAGATAATTGTTGGAAGAACTATAGTACTCATCTATATACAGTTAGTAATTTCACCAAAGGTCGGAATTTGTTTTTAATTGTTGAAATGGAATCAATACAGCCAATACAGATATGCACGCTACTGGAGATAAATAGCAGTAAAGTCGATTTAAAAAAATAGATGTGCAGCTGCAGTTACAATTTTTGAAAGCTAGATTTATTTTCTTATTTGTGCTTTCCTTGGATTAATGCGTTATAATACTTTTTCAGAAAACATCTAAGAATAATGGCCTACAGAGGTGGAAGATGGCAGAGTAACTTAATCTAAAATGAACAAAACATATTGTTAACTACAATTAGTAATAAATATGAAAGTGAACTAGCTGTAATGTCTATCACTTTGCTGATCATCAGGTTACTCTGACTAATCTAGCTGGCCAAGCAGGTATCTCTTCCCTCCTGCATCACGTTATATACAACACTTTCAAAACTTCATGCTTGGTCCAGGAGTATCTAGATAGAAGATGCTAGCTCTTCAATCTCTTAGGAAAAATCACCCCTCCTCCAACACATGCCTACCCTTGTCTAAGGCATTGAATACAGAAACTTCTTGCCTTTCTTTTACTAATATTTATTGGGCACCTACTACATGACAGGAAATTTACTAAGTGTTGAGGAAACAAAAAGGAAAAAGAAATGGTCATTGTTCCAAAGAAGTTATAGTCTAATGGTGAGCAACATGCAAACAAACATAATAATTGAGTTATCCATAAAATACGAGAACACACAGGAAGGAATGCCTGCATCTGCCTTGGTAAACTAGAGATATATCACAGATAAGAGCTGAGGCTTGAAGGATGAAATTAAACTTGCCAACTAAGTAGGAGGTGCATGGGACAGCAGAACATCCCACAAAGAGAGAAAAGCAGAAGCAAAGCATAGAAGAAACAAACAACATTTTATGCTCTAAGAACTAAAGGTAGCTGAATGAAGCCAAATCAAGAAAAATTCTGCATATACTCAGGATTTCTTTTACAGAAGATGCTGCAAGGCTACCTGAGGGCTAACTTCCTTCTGTTTCATCTATACCTTGAGGAGGAGGCCCTTTGGGGGTCCCAGAATATTGTGCGAGGTCTCTTATAGGAATCCATACCTGACTAGGATCCTGAGCTTTGTTTCTATTTACCTTGACCTTCAAGGCCACCAAAACTAAAGTTTAGATATGCCAAGACTGACAAATATCTTCAGGGCAAAAGTGGCTATCATGCTCACTTCTCTGGATTCCCTTTTTCCCTTCCATTTTGGACTGATAATTCCTTACTATCAAGACAGTTATTTATTTTTAGGATAATTTTTAAAGTTTTTAATCAAGCATTTTTGAGTTGATTTCAGTGGGAGGATTGGTCCAAATAAACTAGCCTGTAATTTTTGAAAAAAGAAGCTTCTCTTTTTTATGTATTTGAGATCTATGATATATATAACTAAGACATGATGCCATTAATAAGGAACAGTTAAATCTATTTTTAAAAAGTATCAAAACTTTTATATGCAATAAATTAATCTTTCCATGAACTCACAGGATTTAAAAAGAGAGTAAAACTATAGGAACAGATAATATCTGACTCAAGATCAAAAAACTTTATTTTCCTATGTAGTGAATCATCAGTGTTTAAAAACAAAAAATATTCCTATATGACAGCAAATTTGGATCTATTAAAACCACTATGTGAAAACTATAAAGTCTTGTTATACTCAAAATCTTTTAAAGTATTATCTGATTAATCATTTCTCAAACTGAAAAAGAAGAGTAATCACTTTTCAAATATATATATTCTACTGGGAACCATACATCAAAGTGATTATCATTTTTTTAAAATAAGCAAATAAAGGAAAAATAAGATCTTTTAAAAATTATTCCAATGGGGATATTCACAAAATAACTGAAGGCAGGGACTTGGAGAGATATTTGTACAGCTCTGCTTATAGCAGCATTATTCACAATAGCCAAAAGGTGGAAATGACCCAAGTGTTCACTGACAGATGAAAGGCTGAACAAAACGTGATACATACATACAATGGAATATTTGTCAACCTTAAAAAGAAAGGAAATACTGACACATGCTGCACATGGATGAACCTTAAGGACCTTATTCTAAGTAAAATAAGCCAGTCACAAAGGACAAATACTGTATAAAACCACTTATATGAGGTACCTGGAGTAGACAAATTCATAGAGACAGGAAGTAGAACAGTGGTTGTCAGGGGCTGGGGAGGGAAGAATGAAGGGTTATTGCTTAATGGGTATAGAGTTTCAGTTTTGCAAGATGAGAAGAGGTTTGCAGCTGGATGATGGTGATGGTATCACAACAATATGAATGTACTTAATGTCAGTGAACTGAACTCTTAAAAATGGTTAATATGCTTAATTTTATGTAATGTGTATTTTACAACAATTTTTATAAGAAACAGTAAAGCTCTGGGACTTCCCTGGTGGTCCAGTGGTTAAGAATCTACCTTCCATTGCAGAGAACATGGGTTTGATCCCTGGTTGGGGAACTAAGATCCCACATGCTGCAGGACAACTAAGCCTGCATGCCGCAACTACTGAGCCCATGCACTCTAGAGCCTGTGCGCCACAACTAGAGAGCCCGTGCGCCACAGCTACTGAGCCCACGTGCTCTGGAGCCCGTACACAACTAGAGAGAAGCCTGCACACCGCAATTAGAGAAGCCCATGCACCACAACGAAGAGCCCACACGCCACAACGAAAGATCCCGTGTGCCGCAACTAAGACCTGATGCAGCCAAATAAATAAATATTTTTTTTAAAAAAGAGTAAAGCTCTGTATCTTTTCAAAACAAAAAAATTATTCCATTGGTATCTAGATGAGTGATTTAAATACTGTAAACATTAAAATTCTGATAGTGATGATCAAAAAGCATTCCACATATACATTATTCCAGGAAGGTTCTCTGAGTAATTGCAGAGCTAAGACAAGCAGGATTCTGAAACATCAAGTTTCCCTCTGCTAAGTCAGGACAATTAAGTAAAGCTATCTCTGAAATAAAACTATGACCTGTCCTTTAATCAAGGATAGCCTCCATACAAACCTTTTATTAGGTTGAAGAACCACAAACATTTATTTAAATAACTTAACTATTTAAATGTAGAAAAACAAAAAATACATGAACAATTTATTCTGTAAGATTGCTAATATTAAATATGACTTCAGTCTGCCAATCTACAGTATTCTCATTCATATAAAAGTATTTGTATACTTACTCTTATAAAGTCAGAAGAAGGGCCAATAAAAATCAGAACATAATGCAAATTAAAATTTAATATGATATCCCAGTTTACTGAATTGGATGTTATGAAGCATTTCATTAGAACCTAGCCACTGTTTGTAAACTGATAAAATTCAGTTTCTTAAACTGCTTGGCTGAAGATTAGATTCTGTGAGCATAAAAGAAAAAAAATCACATTTTTCCCCCAAAAGAATGGCTTATTGAGATAATGTCACTTTTGGCAATTTTATCCACATGCATAAAATGAAGCATATTTAAATTTTCTAGAGTCAAAAGGCTGAATGAAATCTAATGTTTTCTTAAAGAAACTAAGGAACTTGCATGTGATAACTTCCAAATTATATAACTTTAGAAAAATAGGGATATTCTTTACAAATGCCCACTCCATGATTATTCACTATTTCTTGATTTCTACCTTCTTGATTTTTGTTTTTCTCATTAAGTTGTAGATTTTTAAAACCACTTTACCTTTCTGCTGTAAGGATTACTAATTACTAACTTGGTGTCATCTGAGCCAGATAAGATATATTCTCCAGTCTCATTCCAACAGATCGTATTAACCTAAAAAGAAAGCAAAATACAAATTTAAGCAGACTGAAAGTAAAATGAGTATGCCATCTTCACTTAGCTGATGGTTTAAAATTTATATCTCTAATGACGTTATGTCTATGGTAAATAGTATTTACCAGTTTACTTAGTGAAAATGCATACTGAGTGCCATTTGGCAAGCACAATGTTCTATAAATTCACAATGAAATATGAGTCTTTCTTAAGTTTTATTTAAATTTATTTTAATTAGTCCATTTTATATCCAGAGACATAAAACCAAGTCACCTAAAAAGGAATTAGAAAAACTTACTACAGAGCTACAGTAACCAAGGCTGTGTGGTACTGTCATGATCATAGACATATCAATCAATGGAATGGAATTGAGTCCAGAAATAACCCATACATTTATGGTCAGGTAATTCTTGACAAGGGGTCCAAGACCATTCAATGGAGAAACAATAATCTTTTCAACAATTGATGCTAGGACACCTGGATATACACAAGCAAAAGGAATTTGGATCCCTACTTCACATCACATACAAAAATTAACTGAAAATGATCAAAGATTTAAATGTAAGAGCCAAATGGGACCTAATGAAACTTCAAAGCTTTTGCACAGCAAAGGAAACCATAAACAAGACCAAAAGACAACCCTCAGAATGGGAGAAAATATTTGCAAGTGAAGCAACTGACAAAGGATTAATCTCCAGAATTTACAAGCAGCTCATGCAGCTCAATAACAAAAAAACAAACAACCCAATCCAAAAATAGGCAGAAGACCTAAATAGACATTTCTCCAAAGAAGATATACAGACTGCCAACAAACACATGAAAGGACGCTCAACATCATTAATCATTAGAGGAATGTAAATCAAAACTAGAATGAGATATCACCTCACACCAGTCAGAATGGCCATCATCAAAAAATCTAGAAACAATAAATGCTGGAGAGGGTGTGGAGAAAAGGGAACACTCTTGCACTGCTGGTGGGAATGTGAATTGGTACAGCCACTATGGAGAACAGTATGGAGGTTCCTTAGAAAACTACAAATAGAACTACCATATGACCCAGCAATCCCACTACTGGGCATATACCCTGAGAAAACCATAATTCAAAAAGAGTCATGTACCAAAATGTTCACTGCAGCTCTATTTACAATAGCCAGGAGATGGAAACAACCTAAGTGCCCATCATCGGATGAATGGATAAAGAAGATGTGGCACATATATAAGATGGAATATTACTCAGCCATAAAATGAAACGAAATTGAGCTATTTGCAATGAGGTGGATGGACCTAGAGTCTGTCATACAGAGTGAAGTAAGTCAGAAAGAGAAAGACAAATACCATATGCTAACACATATATATGGAATTTAAGGGGAAAAAATGTCATGAAGAACCTAGGGGTAAGACAGGAATAAAGACACAGACCTACTAGAGAATGGACTTGAGGATATGGGGAGGGGGAAGGGTAAGCTGGGACAAAGTGAGCGAGTGACATGGACATATATACACTACCAAATGTAAAATAGATAGCTAGTGGGAAGCAGCCGCATAGCACAGGGAGATCAGCTCAGTGCTTTGCGACCACCTAGAGGGGTGGGCTAGGGAGGGTGGGAGGGAGACACAAGAGGGAAGAGATATGGGAACATATGTATATGTATAACTGGTTCACTTTGTTATAAAGCAGAAACTAACACACCATTGTAAAGCAATTATACTGCAATAAAGATGTAAAAAAAATTAAAAATAAATGTAAGAGCCAAAACTTTAAAGCTCTTAGAAGGAAACATAGGTCTCAATCTTCATGAAAACTAAAACCACAATGAATTACCACTTCACATCATTAAGATGGCTATAATAATTTAAGAAAAAGAAAACACAAAATATAAGAAGAATTAGAATGTCAAGAAACTGGAACCTTGATACATTTCTGGTAGGAATGCAACATAGTACAGCTATTTGGAAAGCAGTTTGGCAGTACGGTCAAAAACTGAAACAGAGTTACGCTAAGAGCCAGCAATTCCACAACAAAATGTATACCCAAGAGAACTGAAAACATGTCACAGAAAAACTTCTACACTCAAGTTCATAGCTGCATTATTCATAACAGACAAAAAGGGAAGCATTTCAAATGTTCACCAAATAATGAATAAACAAAATGTGACTAACCCATTTGCTCATAACAAAATATCCATACAATGAAGTATTATTCAGCCATAAAAAGAAATAATGATACATGCTGCCACATGGATGAACCTTAAAAAAGTACGCTAAGTGAAAGCCAGTCTGAAAGGCCACATATTATATGGTTCATTTACATAAAAAGTACAGAATAAGCTTATCTACAGAGACAGAAAGCAGATTATAGCGACTGCCAAGAGCTTGGTGGAGGGGGAATGGGAGTGACTGATAATTGGTATGGACTTTCTCTTTTGGATGGTGAAAATATACTGGAATTAGATAGCAGTGACAGCTATACAACTTTATGAATATAGTAAAAAGGCACTGCACTGAACACTTAAAAGAGATGAATTTTATGGAATGTGGACTATATCTAAATTTAAAAAAAAGAGAAGGAATTACTGACTTCCACTTTCAATCCAGGTGGAGTAACTAGGACCCCCAGATTTACTATCACATCTGAAACAACCAAAAACAGCAGAATATACATTCTTTTTAAGTACACATGAAATATTTACCAATATAGAAGATACTTACTATGGGGCATAAAACAAATCTCAATATATTTAAAAGACTTCAAGTCCCATAAAATGTTTTCTGTCCAAAATGGAATTAAATTAGAAATCATTAACACAAAGAAATATTTGAAAACTATAAAATTGCACATGGTCAAGAAAGAAATCACAAAATAAATTACAAAGTATTTTTAACTGAATGACAATAAAAGCACAACATATCTCAATTTTGGGGTTGTAGCGAACATAGTGCTTAGAAGGAAATTTACAGCACAAAAACACCTATATTAGAAGGATAAAGGTCCCATAACAATGACTTCCACTTCCACTCAAAAAGGTGTAACAAGAAGGCCAATGAAATCAAAAGTCAAAAGAAGATTGGAAATAATGAATATAAGAGCAGAAATCAATGAAAAAGAAAACAGGAAAACAGAGAAAATTGATAAAACCAGAAACTGGTGCATTGAAAAGACAAAGTTAATGAACCTCTACTCAGACTAATCAAGAAAAAGAAGGGGTGGGGGAACTTATTACCAGTATCAGGAATGAGAGCAGTGACATCATTACACATTCTACAAATATTTAAACATATAAAAGAACACTGTGGACAACTTTATCAAAAAAATTCAACAACTTGGAGAGTTAACAAAATCCCTGAAACACACATACTAAACAAAATTTACTCAAGACATTGTCCATTTTTATTAACAAACTGCAGTTAGAATTTTCAACAAAGAAAACTCCAGGCCCAGACTGCTTTGCTGGTGAATTTTGCCAAGTATTTTAAAAACATAAAAGATGAAAATTCTGTACCAAGTATTTTAGAAAACTAAAAAGAACAGTATACTTACCAACTCATTGATACAAGAAAACTATGGACCAATATCCTTAATGTACACACAAAAACTCTAAAACAGAATTTTAGAAAACTGAACAATATATGAAAATAGATAATACATCATGACTCAAGGAAAATGTAAGAATGGTTTGACACTCAAATATTAATCAATGTAACCCATGATATTAACAAACTAAAAAAGAAAATCATATGGTCACTGCAATAAATGCAGTGACATCTGAAAAAAGAACAGACATTTGAAAAAAATCCAACAATGATTCATAAAAAGAGCTCTCAGCAAAGTAGAATGGAACTTTTTCAACTGGACAATGCACATCCGTTAAAAAACCATCATACTTAATAATGAAAGACTGGATGCTTTCCCTCTAAGATCAGAACAAGACAGGGATGTCTGCTCTCACCACTTCTGTTCAACACTGTCTAGGGTACTAGACAGCACAGTAAGACAAGAAAAAGAAATAAAAGGAAACCGGACAGGAAAAGAAGTAAACCTATCTTTATTCTCAGATGCCATGATTGTTTATATAGAATATCCTACAGAATCTTAAAAAAAGGGGGCTGGAACTATTAAGCTTAGGAAGTTTGAGGGATACAGATGAATACCATATTCCCTTGGTATCCAACAGGATGGGTTCCAGGACCGTCTGACGAATGCCAAAGTCTGTAGATGCTCAAGTACCTTATATAAAATGGAGAAATACAGTCGACCCTCGGTATCCACAGATGCAGAGCCTGTGGATATGGAGGGATGACTGTATGTAAAAATAGATAGCACAAGGAATTAAAACCACATATTGCTATTGCTAAATATCTATTAGAATGTCTAAAATTAAAAAGAATGACTGAAAAAAAAAAAGAATGACTGTATCAGGTCTGAAGGAAGAAAGAGAACAGTATAATAGTAGCAAACTTCAACACCCCACTTTAAACAATGGATAAATCATACCGACAGAAAATCAGTAAGGAAACATTAGACTTGTATTAAACTTTAGATCAAATGAATCTAACAGATACATATAGAACATTCCGTCCAACAACAGAACATTCTTCTCAAGTGAACACAGAACATTCTCCAGGATAAATCATGTTAGACCACAAAACAAGTATTAGCAAACATTAAAAGAATGAAATCCTACCAAGTATCTTTCCTGCCCACAGTGGTGTGAAAATAGAAACTGACAGGAGGAAAACTGAAAATTTCACAAACATGTGGAAATTAAATAACACACTCCTGGACAACCAGAGCATCAAAGAAAAAAAATCAAAAAATATCTTCAGACAAGTGAAAATGGAAACAAGACACATGGGATGCAGCAAAAGCAGTTCTCAGTGGGAAGTTTATAGCAATCAATGTCTACATTAAGAAAAAAAGAAAGATCTCAAATAAACCATCTAAATTTACACATTGAGGAACTAGAAAAGAAAAACAGCCCAAAGTTGGCATAAAGAAGATG